CTCCCCGCCCTTCCAGCTCCCCCCGCTCTCCGCTCCGCATCCTCCCGAGTTCCCCGCCACCCGGGTTTCCACAGTGATCAGCAGAGCTCCTGCACCAATCAGGGCTCGTCGCCCCGCCTGCCATTGGCCCAGGAGGATCTTTCGAAGGCCAGCGGGCTGGAGCGGCAGGTCCCCGGCTCCCCCTCCTTCCTGCCGGCCCTCCAGGAGTCAAGCCCCGTCGGGGGGCGGGCCACGTGTCGGATCTCCTCCCTCCCCGGCCGAAGCCCGGGGCGCCGTAGTAGATTTCCCAGGAGCTGTGAGGCAAGCTGGGCCCGAGGCCGGGCTTTCCTTTGCGCGCTCCGGGGCGCGAGCGCGCACGCCCAGCGCTCGGGGTATTTGCACCTGATGTCTGCACAAAGAAGCTCAGGGGCTTACCGCCAGCACCTCCCAGCTTCCAGCCGACCGTGGCCACTCCGGCACTGGCTGGGCTAGGTGACGCCTGTGGCCAGCCCGGTATCTCACATTATCTGCGCTGTCCTCATTGTCTGTCAATCTCCTGCAGCCTCCCTAGAGAGAGCAGCCACCAGCCTGTCTCTGGTGGACCAGGGCTCTGAATCCTTTCATTAGACCATCTTGGAAAAGAACTGAGAAACCTCTGTTCTCTCTCTCCCTTGTGCTAAGTGCCATAGAAGTGGAGTGGGCAGTGGGGAGGATGCCAAGATGAACAGGATGCCGTTTTCATCCTGGTCACAGCCTAGTTAAGAAACATGAACTCAATAAGGACCCAGACTGTAGGGAATAAATACACGGGTACCAAAAGAATAGGGAGAGGGGGTTCCCAGTCTGCAACTGAATAGGGCTGCTTAGTTAAGATCAGTACTCCGGGAAATGCACCGGAATGGGGAAGGCAGGATGAGACAGGTGGGAAGGAAAGGATGCAAGGATGAACTGAAGAGGGTATGGAAGTCAGGAGTCAGCCGTCATATGTCAGTGCGCTAGGTCCCTGAGTCATCAGCATCTCACTGTAAACCTATGATATTGATATATCCAGCTTGAAAATGAAGAGCCTGGGGTTAAGAGAGGTCAAGTGGTCAAACGCACATGGTTAGCAAGTGGCCCTGCTTGGCCTCTTCCAGATTTCATGTTGCTTAGCTCCTCATGACATCAGTGAAAACACCTGGTACAGGGGGTGACTGGGGAGATGCTCAGGTGGAGGGTGGACAGAAAGGGTCCCTTTCATGCCATTCCTACAGCCCCTTCGACCCCACCCTCATCTCATGCTGGTGTGAGTCCTGAGCATCCTTTCTTCCCTCCACAGCTCCAGACCCAGGGAAGGCAAGGACCTTTGCTTCAAGAGGGGAAACACTCAAACAAAAGGGTCTCCCCAAAGATGAGAGAGATCGATCAGGTATATAGCAGCAGTGCCTGTAATTCCAACAGGCAGGAGTTGGCTTGAGTTCAAGGCCAACCTGGGCTACATAGCAAAATCTGAGAGATGGGGGAGGGAGGGAGGGAGGGAGGGAGGGAGAGAGAGAGAGAGAGAGAGAGAGAATGATTATGGAGTAAGACACTGGCCTTTATATTTGTTAAAGATTGATTTTAGACAGGGTCTTCCTGTAGCCCCAGCTGGCCTGGAACACTCTATGTAGACCAAGCTGGCCTCTATCTCACAGAGATCCACCTGCCTCTGTCTCCTGAGTGCTGGAATTAAAAGTGTGCACTACCATGCCTGGCTAAAGATTTACTGAAATAGAAAAAAGAATGATTCTTTTTCAAAAGATGGATTAACATAATACACAGATAAATTTGAATGAAAAAATTTTAGCTTCGTAGAGCTCAGATGAATGAACCACAGCTGAAAGGGGCCTCCAAAGAGTGTCTCACAGTGGGACCTTTAAAGGCTGAGGAAAGAGCATGTGAGAAGCCCTCAAGGATGGGCCAGAATAAGCCCTGAATGAAGACAGGAATGAGCAAATAGCTCAGGTAGAGCCAGTAGCAAGCAGAGTTCAAGTTGGGAACATTCCCACATGCCTCTACACAGACAAGGACAGAAGGCTTCACAGTGGAGACAGTGGACAGTCTTGGAAATTCTGCAAGCAAGGGTGTGCTCAAATCGGATATATAGTGTGGGAAGAGAATTTCAGGGGTTGGGGATATAGCTCAATTGGTGAAGTGCTCATCTAACATGCACAAGGCCCTGAGTTCAATCCCTAGCACCCCATAAATGTTCTATGTTATAGTTCTAGAATTCAAGAGATGGAGGCAGGAGGATCAGAAATTCAAGATTATTCATGGCTACATAGTAAGTTCAAGGCCAGCCCTTGAGACTTTCTCAAAGGAAGGGAGGGAGGGAGGGAGGGAGAGAAAGAGTCTAGAGAGATGGCTTAGTGGTCAACAGGACATATTACTCTTGCAGAGGATCTGAGTTCAGAAGCTACCTAGGGTGACTGACACTGCCTGTAACTCTAGCTCTGGGTGATTTGATAACATTTTCTGGCATCATCTGCACCCACATATCCACACAAGGACACACACATACACATAACTTAAAATAAGATAACTTTTTTAAGAAAGAAAGAGTGGCAGCTTGGGCCCAAAAGAGGTTGAAGGGAAAGTCAAGGGGAACAGCAGACTAGCTAAACGTTTTGAAGAGAGGACAGGAGGCCCAGACTAAGCAAAGACTATGAGGCAGAGCCCATGCCAAATGAGGCCTAATATTGTTCTCTCTCCTCTTCCTGTTCCTCTCTGATTGTTCTTTCTGCTTGGATGGACTGGTGAGGATATTTGCTCAGAGAAAACCTTACAATCTCTAGCCTACCCCAGAGCCACTTAGGAAAAGGGATGATCTCAGAGAAAGATGAGGTTCCTATGCCTTTTACCTGTCCCTCAGACTCTGCTTCTCTCAACAGCATCAAGAACTGCAGCTTTTTGGGATCCTGCCAGGACCTCATTGTGATTATCGATCTTTTCAGGAAAAAGAGAGCAACTTGGATGGCATGGAGCCCAGACCCTCCCAGCCTGCCAAATGGGTAAAACTGGGCCCAGTGGGCAGGTGTATGGGGTGACAAGGCCTATTCGGATTATGCTCACACCCTCAGTGTTCACTGAACCCTTGAGAATACCTTTCCACTTTGCCTCCCAAGGAGTCTCTGGTGGCTGCAGGCAAACTGCTGGGTCAGAGTAGGAAGAGGCTGGTTACTCAAAGGGAGAGTGAAAGTGAATTACACCCTCCAGTCACCCTGTACTTAGCGGGGTGACAAAAGGGAACACAGAGACACAGGTGCTTTGTGGGGAAAAGCAACAAAGGGAATCCATAGGGGGAGGAACATCCTGGCCTCTTTCATCTCTTCCTTTCCTTGTTGATACATGTAGATGCATTGCTCCTACTCTTTAAAATGGCCTCCCAACTTGCCTTTTCCACATGCCCTCACCCCCAGCTCTCAGTTCACTTGTCAGATTTCATGAATAGTCAGCCCATTCTTAATATGCTTTCTGTCTCCCAATCATTTCTTGGATCATTTCACTCTTTCCAATTCTAAAAGCATGTTAGTCACCTTCCCACTACAGTAATAAACACCTGGGATCATCAGCTTCTAAATGGAAAAGGCTTGCTTTGGCTCAGTTTTACAAACCTTGGATCATGGTCAATTAGCCCTGTTGCTTCAGGCCTGTGGTGACACACCATGGCAAGAACATGGGGCGGGGGGGGCGATAAAGGTCAGGGTCTGAGCTGTAGAGACGGCTCATTTGGTAGAGTGCTTGTCACGCTAGCGTGAGAACCTGGTTCAGATCCCATGGGCATGGTGGTGCTGGGGACAACCCTCATTTGAGAGGAGAGGGCAGAGATAGGTGGACTAGAGCTTGTTAGCCAGTTAGTCTAGCCAATTGGTGCGCTCTGAGTTCAGTGAGAGACCCTGACTCCAAAAATAAACTGGAAAGTAGTGAAAGTGTTAGCCTCTGCTCTCCACACATACACACATGTATATGCATGTACACATGTACACATACAACACACCTACACACAAAAAATCTTAGGATCCCACAGTTTCATTCAAGGGCACACTCCCCCATAATCTGAAGACCCCTTACTAGACCTCATCCTTTAAAAGTCCCATCGCCTCCAAACAATGTGACATTAAGAGCCTTTGAAGAACACTTAAGATCCAAACTATAGCCAAGCATTGTGGTGCTCACCTTCATCCCAGTACTTGGGAGGTAGAAGCAGAAGCATTGGGAGTTTAAGGTTAGCCTCAGCTATATAGTAAGTTGGATGTTAGCCTGTGTTGTATGAGATCTTACCTTAAAAACACACACACACAAAGGGCTGGGACTATAATTCAATGGTAGAGCACTTATCTAACATATACAAGGCTGCCATTCAATTCCCAGTACTGAAAAAAAAAAAACAAAAAACCAAACTATATTGCCCAGTGTGGTGGTGCAATCCCAGCATCTATAAAACGGAGGTGTATTTGAGGTGAGCCTGAACTATTTAGCAAGAACTTAATCTAAAAAAAAACAAACCAACAAACCACAAAACCCTATAGTGAAAAGTAATGATAGAAATCCCTCCCACTGGTTGATCAGCTTAGGCATCCAAAGGGCTTTCAAATAAAGGACAAAACCACTCTCACACCATCCAGTAGGGAGTAAAGAAGGAAATATTGAGAGCTGGATAGATGGCTCAGCAGTTAAGTGCACTTGCTGCCCTTCCACAGGACCTGAAGTTCAGTTTCCAGTATGCATGTCAAGCAACTCATAACCACCCACAATTTGAGCTA